GAGTGTGGTGTGTGAAGACAAAGGGCACCACAAGGGAACAAAGGGTGGTTTGACACTGATCCAGTGATGTATCAGTAACGCCCTCACACCAACCACCTTCACCTCCACCGTCACCGTGGTAACGCCGCCGCCGTTACTCCTACCCTCCAGGGGTGCCGTACATGCCGTGCATACGCACCTCCCTGAAAAGTCCCCTCTCCGGCGCCCCTCTTTCTTTCCCCTCCCCCTTCATCGGCAGTTCACCTTTGTTTTCCTTGCATATGTCTCCCCCCCCTTCCCGGCCCCCGCCCTCAAACCCCCTCAGGTCCCATCGACCCCTCCTTCAACATTGACTCCTGGCGTGCCGCTGTGGCTGCGGGTCGCCCCGCCCCCCCCGCCCTCCTCGTCTCCGCCATCTCCTCCGCCCTGTTCTGGTACCTGGAGCGGACAGTGCCCTCCACCCTGAAGTGGCTGTACCCCACCAACCCGGCCAAGGCGGATGAGTGGCTGGAGAGGGAAATACTCAGGTGGGGGCCGCCGCCCCGGGGGGGAAGAGGAGGGAGGAGGGGGAAGAGGAGGGAGGAGGGGGGAGAGGAGGGGAGGGGGGAGAGGAGGGTTTAAGAAAGGGGAGGGGGAGGAAAAGAGAAGGGAAAGGCCGTCTGGGGGGAACCTGCCCCTTGACCTTGACGGGCAGGTCACCCCTCTCCTCCACTCTCACCACACCACCATTCGGAAGTCCTCGGAATGGGCAATCGTTTTTGCTCGTGAGTCCGTTATGGGTCCGTTATAAGTCTGTTGAAGTGATTTTCCCCGGGGCCTGACAACATGGGACTTTGTACGGCAATCAGCAGTTGGTCCTTTGCTCCCTCCGTACCTCCTGTGTATGGCTCCCGTTACGGCCTTCCCCAGCCCCCCCCCGCCGTCCCCCCCGGTCACAGGGCTGCGGGTGACAGTGGCGCCATTGACGTGTTCAAGGCCGTGTGGTATCTGCCGCCTCCGCGAGCGCTCAACTGGCTGATTGCGGAGGCGTGGAGGGGACCCACATTGGTACTGCAGGTGCGTGTGTGTATATGTATATGTGTGTATGTGTATATGTATTTCGGAAGGTAATGGGGTAGGCAACTTGTTATTAGGCAGGGTGCTCCGCCTCGCGCCCCCTCCCTTCCTGCACCCACGGCACTGGCCCCCAATAGCTCACTATGATACGGATAAACGCAGCGAAACACACACATACATACACACACACTTCCCCCTCCCCAAACCCCCCGGCCGACGCCTTCCCTTTTTGGAGTCCCAGGGCGCACTCGACCCCCTGAACGACGCCCCTTCCCGAGCCCGGCAGCTGGGCCGGCTGTGTACCAATGTGGAGGTGGAGCTGCTGCAGGCGGGTGAGCTAAGGGGGGGAGGGCTGGGGAGGAGGGGGAGGGCGGGGGGAAGGGAAGGGAAGGAGGGAATTTCACGCGGCTGCTGCCGCCGCTGGTGATAGTGATGGTGATCATGAAGGTGGTGATGATGATAACGGTGATGCTAAAAGCAAAGGATAATCTATTGGCATCGCGTGGAGAGGAGGGAGGGAGGAGGAACAGAGATCAATATATACACATTATACATAAGGGTAAGACATACACATTCACATACACGCACACGCACCTCCCGTCGTCGCCTCTGCCACCACCACCACCGCCACCACCACCACTGCCACCACCGCCTCAGGCCACTGCCCCCACGACGAGGTTCCGGAGCAGGTCAACGAGGCCCTGCTGCGCTTCATCCGTACATCCGTACTGCGGGACGAGCAGGGCGGGAGCACTGCTGCCACGACGACCCCCGCCGTGGCCGCCGCCTCCCCCGCCCCCTCATTGCCTGCCCTGGGTGACAGGGCCTAGCATTGGGTGCCGTCTGAACAGAGCTCATCCACCACTAGGGGGGGGTTGTGTGTGTGTGTGTAGGGGGGGGGCAGCACCTTCTTGGGCTCACACGTATGACCTTTCGAGTGTGGGTGCACGGGACGTGTGCGTATGTATGTATGTTCGTCGGGAGTTCACTGAGCCAAAAAAGAAGATACACGCGTTGGGTTGCCCCTGCGAGCCGCGAGCTGCAGGGTACGTGGCACGGTGTTGTTGCCAAAACAGTTATGACGGTGAGAAGAGCCGCATAACAGTCCTGATGCATTAAAACTGTGAGAGATTGAGAGATTGATAGATTTCGGGTGGTGGTGCCGAGGTCCTGGCAGGGGTTGCCTAGCAGCCGGGGGCGGAGAAGTGCGGCCACGTGCGTGTCTGCGTGTTTTGTGGTGTGTGTGTATCTGTGTATATGTGTGTATGTGTATATATGTGTGTGTATGTGTGTATATGTGTGTATATATGTGTGTATATGTGTGTATATGTGTGTATATATGTGTATATATGTGTGTGTATGTGTGTATATGTGTATATATGTGTATATATATGTGTGTGTATGTGTATATGTGTGTATATATGTGTGTATGTGTGTCTATGCGTGTGTATGTGTGTGTGTGAGAGAGAGAGAGGGAGGAAGAGGGAGGGAGAGAGAGGGAGAGAGAGGAAGAGGCAGTGTGTGTGTGTATTTTTCAATACCTGTGCCAGGGAAAAGAGGTGGCGAGGGCGGTAGATGAGCAATTTGACAAAGATCTGCACAGTGGTGTGGATTGCTGATACTGCAACAAATATAACGTTGCCAGATTGAGGGCGATTGAGGATTGAAATGAGTGTGTGTTAGTTTCTGTTAAGTGTACGTATACACTTGCTCCTTCTCGTTTACATCCACTTACAAGCGGGCACGGTGGAGTACGGCACCTCAGTGTACAACACCTCGCGTTGTCGATAAACTCATCATCGGCTGCACGGAAGAACTTTGCATACCAACACGAACAACAAGAACAACAACAACAAGAACAAGAACAACAAGAACAAGAACAACAACACGTGCCGGTGTCGTACTGACCCTCCAGCGGCGACCTTCTTGCTCTCGGGACCATGAAGCAAGTGGCCAATCAACACGGCTCAGCAGCGGCTCAGCGGCGCAGTCTTCCCGTACGCACGTGTGCGCGGCGATCAACAGCGAAGGCAGGCAGGCGTACATACGTACATACATACATGATATACATACATGATATACATACATGATATACATACATACATACATACATACATACATGATATACATAGGTCCCAGCCACACCCACTGCGAATATGACCAAGACAGGTCTACAGACACAGCTCCTTCTTTCACTCGTAAACGAACGGAAACACTCCGAAGTATAATACAGCGCACTCGCGACTAACGAAATCAGGCATCTTTCTACCTGTTTCATCACGCTGCTAAGCAAGCTCCAACTTTACGTGGAACAGCTCTCAAATTCTACACCAATACAACATGCTACAGGACACGTATTCCATATCAAGCTTCTACTCAGCACGACAAAAGACGCATGTAGTCTAGTTGCTGTCTCGTACAATGCCGTACTGTACAGCTTACGTTCATGTCGTGCGCGTGCATTTTTGTAGAGTTGCACCTCTCCTCATGAAATTCAATAAACCACAGCAGTAATCAGCAAACACTACCTTGCAGAAATCTAAACGGGTGTGCGAAGTATATGTTTAAAAATTAAAACTGTGTTACCCTGGTATTATCCGAAAAGCACATGGCTCACGAAACATGGAATATAGGTGCTACTAGACGCCGTCGTCCATTAGGCATCGTCAGAAGCATGCCGGTATATATGTATGTATGTATACTACAAAGACGCAGGATGATGCAGGATGTACTGCATAATGCCGGATCGAATCAATATCTGCTGCTGTCTTTTCTTCCTCCCAGCCTCTCGGGTGCCCAAGGCCCCTCAGGCGCTTCGGCCCGGAAAGGCTGGCCCGGTACTGGATCGCATGCCACATATCGTGTACGACAATCTTGACGAAATATGCGCCATGTACGGCGGGGACCCTCGCAGTCGTGCGATGTCGCAGTGGTGAGCCGTTGGATTTGACGAGCTGGGTGCAGCAGCAGCCGCAGTCGCAGCATCATTAGCTGCCTCTGTCGCCGCAGAAGCAGCAGTCGCCGCTGCTGGATCCCCGCCGGCCAGTTCAGCGATTCCCAAACTTGATGGCTGCGCGCTTGGCTCTATAACATTTCGCAATATGGCCTGTTCAGATATGGGTCCAACAGCTGGGCAAGCCAAATGCTGTGGCGTTCCTTCCCGCGTCCCCATGAACCGAGAACCTGAAGAACTTCCGCGGACCTCCGAGGGCGCCAAGGTGCCGCAAGAAAGCCCTGGATAGAAAATTTGAAAAATATATCCAGATTTGGAGGTAGGGAAAGGCTCTGGAAGGAAGGCAGACTGTGGCGTTGTTTGGAGGATGCAACATATTAACTTGAACAGCTTGCGCTCAGCACGCTTTACGCTAATTGGGAACGCAAAGACACCATTTTATATTCAATGCAAAAATGCTGAAATTACAACAAGGTCACTCAGTCCCTGGGTGTTGATTGTTCCACCGTTTCCGCGGAACTTGGGTGAACCGGAGCCCTAGTTTGTCACCGACCGATGTAGCACTAAGACGCGTCACAGCGTGGTACAATCTTCTTGCCTTCATCCGTTACGTTGGTTGCAAACAGATTTGCAGCGCGAACGTCCGCAGGAGTCGTGAGAAGCAGCATGGCAGCAGCCAAGCAGCCAGAAGCTCGAGATGTGGACGCCAGGACAGGTAATGACTTCTGCTGAGACGGTCTCACAGCTTTCGGCCCATGCTCAAACCTTTGCGAGGAAGCTGCAACTCGCTTCATTTTTGCGATGTACCAGTAAAATACGTGGAATTTACCACTTATATGCGCATCAGAGTTTAAGAAAGATTCTAGTTATTGAGCCCGCTGACCCTTTTGTCTCGTAGCGCCCTTAGCAGTATGACGGTACCGGTGTCGAGTACCGGTCGGAACCTCCGACGGACATGCCACACCAACGTGCAACAGACAACTACCACAGACCGTTAAGCTGAAGCTCGGCAGCTGCCGAACTTGAGCACTGCAGCACTGCAGCTTCAAGAGACAAACAATGGGGTCCTGGTGAAGCAGCTGCCCGCGTTTCCAAAGCGCGTATTGTGATGTGGAACGTGCCGAAGTACGTCCGCGAAACAGAATGGGGCCGGAATGGAGAGAACTGTGCAGCAGTATATTGTAATGTGAGTGGAGTCGAATCGAGTTACAGGGCGTTTGGCGCACGGCGGAATGTACATGCGGTCTTGTCATCGCGGGCGTATACAACAACAAGAACAACGCGTATACAGTACACGTCGCGTCCGTCCTCAGCTCTCTTATAGTAACGAAGGATAAGGCATAGATACAAGTCCTCGCGCTTGGACGGACATGCCAGAACAGGCAACATGATGGGTGAACTCGCACGCTCCCAAGCATGCACCCGAGCACGCGACGAGCCGACCTAGAAACGAGCAGCGTACCCCCCAACAACGCTAAGGCAAGGGACCCCCCCAAACGCTGGTGTCCGTATGGGCACCAGCCGCAGTTCACACACGAGTCATTGTCGGACATGTATGCAACGTGAAGTGTGATGGTGCCTAAATACAGCAGCCACTGCTCAATGTCCAGAAGGCTAGCGCGGAAATCGTCGGACACCATCCGTCAAGTGCCCAGTTGCTGTGTCGGCCTGGCAAGCGTGGCTCGGGCGACGTCGTCTTGGACCACCGCGGTGCTGGCTGGCGGAAGGCGGCCCGTGCAGTACATTGTAGCCGTCCGGCCCCTGGCACTTGTACTGCGCGATGTAGAGGGCCTCCATCTTGTCGGCGAGTGCAGGATTGGCGGTGGACATGAGGCATGTCAGGGTGAAGTGGTCTCGGAAGGGTTGGTAGCGGCGGGCATCCTCCTTCATGCGGGTGGGTGGGTTGTGGGCATGAGCTTGGAAGCGCCGGTGAGGATCCTTGGATTGGCCGACGTACACCCTTCCGGTTGGTGTGCACGTGATGGTGTACAGTCACGTGTGGGCGGGGACACTGGAATCGGGCTCGGTGGGGCTGGTTGCCGCACGTTTGGATGGTGTGGTGGTGGACAGGAGGGCGCCCAACACTCACACCTGCTGAGCGGCGGCCAGCACCGAGTGCGCGAACTCTTGGTCCGCTTTCAGGACGGTGCCGGCGTCCATGCCGTAATCGTAGATGAGGGCTATGGCTGTCTCCACGCGCAGGCTGCCGGCAGCCGCAATCCACAGCTGCATGACAGCTGCTAATTGCGCCCACAGGTCAGCAATGTTGACGGGCGGCTTGGCGGCTGTGCTGGTGGAGGAGCCGGTCGGCAGGCTCGGTGAAGGTGTGCCGTATGCACCCAAGTTGGTTGGCGACGCTGTCGGAACAGGTAGCTGTTGTTGCCGGGCCATTTTGGGAGGCATTTTGTTCGAGGTTACAACAGAAAGGCAGGTGTCCGTGAAGGAAAGTCTGGCTGGCTGCCGGCCGTAAAGTGGAGTTCAGTCTATGAGCAAAAAAACGAAAAAAGGAGAATGTATGCAAAAGAAGGCGGCACAGGCAGGCATTTATACAAGTCGCGGCACCGTACAATCCGGATGCTTGAAGGGGAGTGGACCTTGCGGGCTGAATCGGAAGGGCGACGGAGCGCGGCCTGTACGTCTTCGCATGGCGTGGATGGGTGACGGCAGCAGCGGCAGCCAGTGGGGTGCTTGGAGAGGTTGCTTGCGTAAAATGATAAAGTGCAATGGATATGGCAGGTGGTCATGCGGAAATGTTTCGGGAAAAAGCCACGTCAACTTCCAGCCGGGTGTATTACGCATCTTGTCGGCTAGTACGTACAATTCCGACGCACTTCCATACCGCACACAAATTCTATATGGCGAAGAACGCCAGGAGCCGGGACGCAAGCACCGCACAGGGGTTCGGTAAGGGCACATGAAAGGGTCACGGATTCGTCCAGCGATGCGAGGGACCGCAAAGGAACGGGATGTAATGAATTCCGACCATAGCGACGGGTCGGAGGCCGGTAGGAGGTGATCCATGCGAAATTGCGAATAACGCCAACCGGCTGTGCGCTGGCTGGCAAAGACGAACAGACCCAACGAACTGCGGACGAGACTGGGAAACGTGCACGTAGCTGAAAGGACTTGAAATGCGAGAGGTGCGATGCAGGAGTTGATGAAGATGCAGCCAAAGTGGCCGAAGCCGGTTGTGTGAAACAAGCGAAAGGGCGTCGGGGAAGGCGGAATGGCCATGGCTTCTGTAAGGCCACATGAACGGCCACGGGCTCTGTAAGGGCACATGAACGGCCACGGGCTCTGTAAGGCCACATGAACGCTCCACCGAATCGACAGCGATGCGAGGGACTGGAAAAGTCCGTGATGAAATGCACGCGGACCATAACGATGGGTCGGCGGCCCGTAGTTTTGGTCCAATAGAAAGAGCGAAAAACGCAATCCGGCTGTGCGCTGGCTGGCAAAGACGAACAGGCCCAAAGAACTGCCGGCGAGGCCGGCGAATGCCGCAACTGCGGGAACAGGGAGCGTAGCGGAGAGAACTTGTAATGCGGGAGGTGGAATGCAGGAGTTGATGAAGATGCAACCTCATTGCTAGAAGGTTGGTCGTGTGAAGCACCCGAATGGGTGTCACGGAAGGCGGAGCGGCCTGGGGTGCTGTAGCTGCACATGAAAGGTCCACCGAATCATCCAGCGAGGCGAGGGCCCGGAAAGGTACGGGACGTTATCTCGAAGTGTCGGTTACCCTATCGAAGCGACATGTCGGGTTATAGCTAACCGGTCGGTTACCGATCCAGGGGTTGCAGTGTGTGTGCATGCTACGGTGCATGCTGCTTCTGCTCATGCTGCTCTCATGTTCTCTATCACTCATGCTGCTTTGATTGCTGTGCGACAGCGCGGTTTCTCGCTCTTTCCTTGGGCTTCCTTGGAATAGCTATTTATGGCTCAGCTCCGCCACACTCCGCAACTCCAGAAGCCCATCCAACTGCCAACTGCTCCAGCAAGACTTCCCTCCTTGCCTTCTTCTCCGTCTCACGCACATCTCATAACATGTCCTATTTATTCTCCAGTTCGACTGGCCATGGGGAACTGGGTTGGCGCAATACCAGGAGGCTGTAGATGCTCAGCCGTTCTTGTTGAGATGGAGGGCGCACAATGCACCGTCCATGGATTTGCATGCATCGGCGCCTTAGCAGCAAGGGTATACAGCAGATTCGTAAATCACTCCAACACCGCCAGCCGCCACACCCTGCCCCCACAGCTATCCATAATAATGGCGTGGCGAAGGAACCAGAACCGCCAACAAACATACCCCCGGCCGTCAGCCAACAACGAACTTTGAACTTAGTCAACTCGATCGCTGTCAAACGGTGAGTTTCTTCTTATTTATTGCACACGCATTTCACAACTTCTCGCGTATGATGCATATCGTTTAGTTAATGTTGCTGAATAACTCCCTTCAGAACCCGAATCCCTCATCCTCTCACGCACCGTCCCAGCCCAGGTCTGCTCCCATGTGTGTGTGTGTGTGTGTGTGTGTGTGTGTGTGTGTGTGTGTGTGTGTGTGTTGAACATCTGTGGTGCGGCCTGCCAAGGGATTTGTGTGTATGCTGTGTAGGCGTCTTCTATTTCAACCCGCACTCACGCCGGCTCCCACCTTGTCACAATAGTAGTGCTGCAAGTGCATTGTTGTTATTAGATATGGGATGGCATGCGACGGCACGTGGGGGTTGTCAAAGGAGGTGTCAGGCGATTTGAGTCCATCAGTTCGAGCAACTTGGTCGATGGCAGGGGAGAGGGTTATATATCCAATACGACCGTTAATAATCGGCTATGTCAGTTAGCCGTTGAAGTCAACAAGGAAGCCCTGCAACCCCCTCAACTACTTGTCATACATGTCCGGCCTACAACTTGCTATGACTTTAAACTTGGTGCGATGTTTTGTGTGAGCCCCTTCGGGTCGTAGTCCCAAGAGCCCGGTTACCATTTGACACCAGTATTGACATATAGCTTTTCGGCCTGCCTAACAGGAAACAGGCTTATGAGGGCCTGATGCGAATCCGGTGTGCCCTTCGGATGTGCGAAGCAGACCCGGGGAGCTAGCAGCGCTAAAGCAGATCACAGTATATCTAGTATATCTAATGCGAGCATGTCTGCGTGCCGTGATGGGTCCAACCGATCGACGGCCTTTCCTCCTCCTCCTCCTGGCCTGTTCCAGAAAAGTGGTTTGCGAATCCTGTTTAGACGGAAAGCGCCGGTTGAGGCTTCATGTAGTACTGAGGAGCCGTCCTGGGTCATATTTTTGATATTTGCCAGGTGAAGACGTTTGCAAGGGCACACCAAGCTCTCATGCTAGTCCGGAAGTCCTTACAGTCCGAGAAAGGTCAGGATAAGGGAAAATGCCTCGTCGAGACTATCCTGTTAGGAAGATGCAAACGGCTGACGCCATACGACTAATCGTTTTTGCACAGGTCTGCAGACCCCACCGAGCCAATCAACAGCTACAAAGGAAAGGCACCGATGTCAAGTTGTTGCAGTCAGCCCACAGAGATATGTAGACATCAGTCATCAGTCAGCAAGTCGCGGACATGAAGGCAACTAAAATTGGCATATGTACGATACTGACGTCAGGTTGCCAAGGCATGCCACGAGTGGCTCAGATGACCCACACGTAAAATACACGCATTTGCACTCATTCACTTGATGTCCAGCAGCTCGACATCGAAGATGAGGGTTGCGGACGGCGGGATGACGCCGGGAATGCCACGGGGCCCGTAGGCCTGCGGGATGCCAAGGGCGACGAAATTCCCACATTAGCTCATATAAAGGATGTTACTTTTGCAATATCAATAGGTATTGCAGGTGAAACGCCAAATCGGAGCATGCGCGGGTCGTGGCCAGTCGGTAAGCCAAGCCCAGAAGCCGCAATACGTTCAACCGCGGAAGCTTAGTAGGAACTAAAAGCCTGAGCACGCACCATGTCGGGGCTGATTGTAAGCTTGACCCGCTCGCCCTTGGTCATCTGGGCGACACCAACATCCCAGCCGGGAATAACCTCCCCCTTCCCTAGGGTAAAGTCAAACGGTGCGCCACGGTCACGGCTGCTATCGAATTTCTTGCCATCGACCAAGGTGCCAGTGTAGTGGACGATAACCTTTTGGCCGCGTTGTGGACGGGTGACACCTGCGGCGATCCATTAGCGCGCTCCATGACACTAACAATGACAGCTCAAAGCAAGTGCAACCGCAAGACAGCAGGACAGAAACGTTTGGGCGGCAAAATGCCTTGCGGCATATGCAGTATATTCTGAACCGGGTCCGAAAGCAGCAAAGTTGTACGCTGGTGAAGGCCTCACCGTCGCCTTTCGTGATCACTTCGATGTCCACGCCCATCCTTTCTTGTTTAGAAGTGTCGGAGCTGACAGATAGGTTGCTCTGCGAAAACTGGTCTGTCCGCAACGATTCCTCTCACACTGGTAATAAACGCTATTTCAATCGAGCTTGGAATTGGACTTTTACCAATAGTGGTTCTACTCGCCGTACGCTGTAAGGCCCGGACTCGCACTTCCGAGTTGCGTGATACCGGTAATGCGGTGATGTTTCCTGTACGGTGCTCATTTGTACACGTGATTATATGCGTTACACCAGCTATGCTTTACCGTCGTCTGTCTGTCCCAAGTACAGCTACATCTCATTGTGCGGCTAGGTGCGTATGCGGCCTTTACATATGGCTCCCTAGTTCAGAACATTTCCTGGATTCCATGTGAAAACTAGACGTAAATTGCATTGCTGCAGCGGTCCTATGGAGGGAATGCCACTGCAACCCAGCGTTACGGCCGTCGTACATGCAGCTTTTGAGTTTCCTTTAAGGCGACCATCCGTTCATGTTACTACCGTACTACCACGCTTTGTCTGAAGTGCGAGATAGGACGGTGCTTTTAGGCGATCTGGCAGCCCTTGAGCCCTCGGCTCGCGTCGGGCAGTTTACAGGTACGGCGAATGCACCCCACGACTATGTAACACACACACATTACTTATCGTGATGATCCACTTTACGAGTTTGCCGCCCCAATCTTGCCCACCTCTCCACTTGCTACGAATATGCTGATTACCATTCATAGAATGTGACCATGGTATTTGGTTCTCTTGGTGCTTTGTCCACTGGAATCAAAAACATGTTGCCATAAGGTATAGTAGGTAAATCCAAGGCGCAAGTATTAGTGAAGTCAATCGGCAGCTGCGCATTACCGCCCACACGAGCTATAATCGGTGACGGTTAGCTACCCCACTCAGAAAAACAGCAGCATGCGCAATGGCACGTGGGAGGACTTCTTCCATCCGTATTGCCGAACCGCCACACCCCGGGAGACGCTAGGGCACACGCAGGCGCACATCCCTTGCCGTGCGCCGCGCGCATATCTGTATGTGTATTCTTGACAAGCCTCCGAAACCCGGAAAGACTCCCTATGATATAGGGCTTTGTGTATGCTCGTTATGTCTGCACGCGGGCTTACGAATGATCGCCGGAAACATTGACTAGTAGACTTAATTGACGAATAGACTGTTGAAATGTTAAAACCATTCTTCTTCAGAAACATATCGTTGGAAGGCGTCATCCAAGAAAACACGCCGCAGATGGGGCTGGCAGCCGCCCAGCGACTATGGTCATACACAAGCCTCAAGACGCCCTTCCATCACGGATGCTTCTCCCAGTCGCGAAGAGGCCCAACCATGCCCTGGTTCCTGCCATGCCTGTGGGCCTTGCCTTGCCTCGCCGTGGCGCCGTGGCTGCTGCTGACGACGTTGCCATGATGCCCCCCACCCTAGGCACCGCCGCCGCCCCTTCGTCCTCCCCCCTTTCCCTCCGCTCATTCCTCATGCAGCCATGCCGCTTCTAGCTAAGCCCCAGACGACCCGGGAATCATCAGCAATCAACGGTGCCGTCGCCGCCGCCGCCGGCCCCGGCCGCCAGACGGCCCCGAGGTTGACTCAACTGCCGTACCAGCTCCGAAACCCTGGCTCGTGTGGTGTCTAGATCGGTGGATGTGTCGATTACAAAGTCTGCAAGGCGCCGCTTCTCGGCATCTGGAACCTGCGGTGTACCAATCCCCCCGGGGAAGACCGAGGAGGGAAGTGAAGGAAGTGAAGGGAGTTAAGGACAGGAGGAGGAAGAGGAAGATACACCACACCACACCACATCAACCCTCGGCGTCCCGCGCAGGACCACAGACAACAACACAACACCCTCTCCCCTCCAACCCCGAAGGCCGACACTTACCTGCCTCCCTAGGATTGCCGCCAGCTTCTCCTCGCTCATACCCTGTCTGGACAGAACCCGTGCACGCTGCACCTCCTGGGGAGCGCTCACCACAACCACCGCGTCCGCACCGTGAGGACGTGTACGGCTGGTTCCGGAGCCCCCCTCGGGGTCCGGGTCCTTGCCTGTCTCGAACAGCAGGGGGATATCCAGTACCGCCAGGAACAGGCCCTGCCGCCGCACCTGACGACAGGATTCGTACAGACAACCAGCCGGCCGATACGTTGATATACGTCAATCAGTACGTCAATTAGTACGCCAGTCTGTACGTGAGTCTGTACGACAATCTCCTAATAGCAAGTCCCACAACAGATTGTCGGAACGAAGGTAATGAAGAAGAGCAGGCGACCCGCGCAGCGGGTGCTCGGGTTGGAGGTCGCACCTGAGTGCGTGTATGTATGTGTGTCTGTAGGCGTGTTAAATACGCGTGGCGTGTTTCATTCCCCCGGCGACCAATCCTTCCCCGGCAGGCACACATATCCCAGGGAAAGGTCCAAGAGGTACCCGCAGCCCACCTGTTCTAAGAACTCCCGGCGGCTCTCAGCCACTAGCGGATGTACGATAGCCTCCAGCTGCTTCATGGCGGCCTGGAGTAATAGCAGTCCCAGCAGGAGAGAAGTAACGACAGCAACAGTAGCGGCAGGAGGTATCATCATCATTAGCAGCAGTAGTGGCAGTAGCAGTACCACCCCTAACAGCCCCCTTCCCTCCTACCGCAGTCCTGCCCAGCCCGCCCCCTCCCAACGTCCCCGCCACAGGGAGGGGACCTCACGCATCTCTATCACCTCACCACATCTCACCACATCTCACCACACCCAACCCACCACATCTCACCACACCCAACCCACCTCGTTTCCGACAACCTGGGCGCTGAGGGCCGCTCGGTCGATGACTGCACAGCACAGCACAGCACACGGGGGGCCCTCCGGGGGTGACCAAACTCTAGGTTTAACATAACACGACGTTGAAACACCCGGGAAAGCGGGGGATGAGCAGGTACGAATGGGGACGAGGAATGGGTCCGTACGACTGTGTACTAGTGTGGCCACCGAGTGTGAGACGGCCGGTAAGCCTGTATCGGACGAAAGGCGGTCTGTCCGTACACAGTAGCAGTACCACAGTAGCACCGTACCGTACCACGGTAGCACCAGACGGTACGGCAATACGATGTCCCGCGGACATGACAAAGCCGAGGCTTGGCAGGCCCTCAGGGGAATCCGAATTCGAAACCCAAACACAGAACACTGACACACAAAACACACACAAACCCCCCTCTCCCCCCTGCAAAACACACACGCATGCCCTCCCCTATGGAAATACATCCCCAGCCCGTTTGTGATGCGCACCGCCATCGACCACTACCCCAGGGAACGCATCGGCCACAAGTGGTACGGCAGCGCCGCCCCGGCCGTATAGCTCATGGACGGTCTGTTACACGGTCGGGTCCACGGGAGATGACAGGGGGTGGGAGGTGATCATACACACATACACACATATACACACATACAGACACACATGCATGTTTGATCTGGTCCAATGGCCAGCAGTGCACCCCTAGGCAGGGGTAAGATGGAACGAGGTGCACATGGGATGAGTTATACACACGTACATAGGCATACAAACATACAAACAGACAGAAGATAGGCAGTCAAACAAGCAGACAGACGGACAGACAGACAGACGACAGGCAGCCGTGTGTGTGTGTGCAGGAAGGTGGTGAGGTGGTCTTCTCATAGGACTGATAGAGCTCCGTGTGCAGCTTTCAGAAAGGAGCTGCTGATGGCATTGTCATTATGGCCGGTTTGTAGTATACTATAAAATGTGTGGGCACACAGGAACCGGGTCCCCTCGCTGTAGCACACCACCACGTTACGCACCGCGTCCGCGTCCCACACCGGCACACCTTCCTGTCGGAACATGGCCGACACAGTGCTCTTGCCCATACCTGTTGAGGAGTCGGATTAGTAGGAATTCTGCTAGGAAGGAATCAATTGCCTAGATCCGGGGAAGGTATGTGTAATGCGGACGTTTTGTTAAAGGGAAGCGGGTAGGTTTGGTGGTGGTGTTTTGGGGGACGGCGGCCATGGGTAGCTTCGCATGCCCATGGATGTGCGAGTACCAGATGGCCAGTGGGTGCAGAGATTTGGATGAAGGAAGGACATAAGCGGTAGGCGGTACGCACCAATCGAGCCGGTCAGTCCAAGGATGAAGGTTTGAGAAGTGCCGCTTTCGTTTAGGCTGGGTTGTCGCCCTGTCTGGTCCTCCATCGCATACACGACGTTAGCACGTGCAAGGTATTTCGTCTGTCCTGGGCATTTTACCCAAGTCCTAGATCCAATTTTTACTGCTCTCGCGTAGTCGGCTTTCTTGGGAGTTGCGGCATGGGGAACGGCGGTGGCCGTGCGGGTATCACATCTTTGCCCAACGCAGCCGGAATGGCTGACGCTGTTATGGAGTGCAAAGGACATATGGCCAAATCAACATCAGATGCGGCGCAAGCGGCAAACGCGCTGGTTTGGCTTTCACTGCTTTAATTGCCGTACCAACTGGCAGGTTGACCTGTCGCCTTGACTTATGGGAAATACCAGACTCGGAGAGACGCACAACGTCATCTAATGCGCCTGGCCTGATGAGTTATGTACTGGACTTGCTGTGTCTACCGTCTCACCTGTTGCCGTTTTGGTTCTGATTTGTTAGCGATTGCTACAACTTGGAGAGGAATTTAATTATCTAACATGATAAACATCACCATGAGCCTGACATCCTCGCAGCAACAACTGTCTGAAGCTTTTCGTAGCAAGGATGGCAAGCTGCCAGAAATTTTCCGTATATTGGCAGAAACTAAAGCTGCTCCGGACACGGCTGAAACTTGGATTACGGCTGCAAAGATTGCTTTGAGCAAGGATGAACCAGAGCACTGCAAAGGGATTCTCGAGGCCTTCCGGGAAAGCAACCATGACAACCTAGCTGCCACTCTTCTCTTGTCGAAAGCATGCCAACGTTTGGGGTCAGAGGATGCACTGGATGAAAGCGTCGTGTTAGCGAGGTGGGTAGTACATCGACGGAGGGGCAGGAAGGAGGGGGAAGGCGACATCTGCGGTGTTTCATCATCTGTCATGTCCCATAAAAACCGAGACATGAAGAATCCCCATTCAATCCCCCATTTATCTTAGGAAAGCCGTCAGCATTGCATCCGGCGCTGAAGACGTCCTACGCGCTTCAGTGCAGCTGGCCATGTCGCTGGGTAACCGCGCCCGGCTTCGGACACGGCAACAAGTGGAGCGTCAGCAGGACAGGTGAGAGGGGCACAGTGTGAAACCGTATTTACAATGCCGATCTTTAGCGCCACCACGGAGCTTCCGCTGCTGCTGTTGACCTGTACGGCAGCGACATATGTCCACAGGGAAACCCGAATATTCCCTTCAAGCACCTCATGGCATGGCGAGGGTTGTCACAGGGTGTGGTGTAACATGCCAGGCTTAGCAAAAGCGACCGACACAGCGTTATTCCGCGCTCCTCGCCCTCCCTTGACCCGCCTGCCCTCAGCCTTTCAGTTATTTTCCTTTAAATTTTGCATATAATTCCCCCCCTTTGAGCCCCCTACACCCTTCCACTTTGCTTTTCTAGCCCACAGTTTTTAACCCCCTAACCCCATCCCAAACCTGCTCCCATTTGTGCCGCTACCCATTCCCCCCGGGGCCCCCCCCCCACTTCCCCTCTCCGACTAAGGGACGAAGCTATCCGGGTCTTATCATCTCTAGAAGCCCTGTCCTCCGCCTCCAGAGAGGCCGGCAGTAGCAATCCACCCCCTGCAGCCGTCAGCAGTAGCAGCAGCAGCAGTGCTGACGTGGTGCAGGGGCTGTACACGATCGCGCTGCTGCAGGCGGAGCACGGCGGCTCCCAATTGAGAGCGGCCAAGGACTCGGCTGTGACGGCTTGGCAAGCGGCTCAGACGGCTGGGGAGTCGCAGCTAACCTCCCTCAGCCTGGTGCTGCTGTCCAACATCCTGTCCGCGGGGTGGGTGCGTCGGTTGGGCCGCAGGCCGCAGGCGGGTATGTGACGGCTGTGCCGTCCCATTGGGTTGTTGCGTGTGTTGCCTGTTTGATCCAGGAACTGGATTTGAAGGTGCTCGTCGGCGTCTGTCGGTCGTCAGAATTGTCGCCGCCCTCCTGCTCTCTGCTGTGGCACAATGACACACATTAAGACATGAACATCAGCAATTTGCCTCGCCGGGTGCGCCTCTCTCTCTCTGTCTGTCCCAACTTACCTGGCCTCTCTCTTTCGCTCTTTCTCTCCAACCCTTCCAACCCGCAGCCAGGCGCACAAGGCGGCGCTTGCATGCCTGGCCCAGGTGCGCACCTCATCGCCTACAACACCATCCTCGCCAGCAACACCATCATCACCATCATCACCACCACTGGGAGCAACACAACCCCCCTTTTGGAGCGACGTGTTGGTGTGGCGCCTGCGTTCCCGTCTGCTGGCGGCGCTGGAGGACACCGGGCCGTCGCTAGCTGCGCTTGTGACGGCCAAGAAGCTCCTGGCGGGCTGGTTGGAGCGGGGCGCGCTGCCGGCGGGGGTCACCAAGGCCACGGCGGAGGAAGAACTGGCCAAGGTAGCACCTCTCCTCTCCTCTCCTTGGGCACAGCTCGTTACGTTGCGGGAATACGGTGCAACGATAAATCCGTGTGCATCCCGGCGCAAGGGAGATGTCTGCGTAAACCAAAGAAGCATGCAACACTCCCCCTCAAGGGTTTTGGTTTCGGTGCGGGACACGCGAGTGGTTCGTGTGGGGGAGGAGCTGGGTATATGTGGACGTGGATGGGGGTTACATAGTACGGGGGGTTGTTGGATTAGAAAAGGTGGAGGGAAGGTCGTTGGTGTGTTTGCGCGCATGCATGTGTGTGTGTGTGCGTGTGTGTGCGCGTGCTGTTGCGCAACAATTTTGCCGCCAGGTATCTGTCAACGCGCGACCTTGCGGCTTCCCGCAGCTCCTGCCTGACGTTGTTTTCTTGTCTTGTAGTAAAAGTAAGAAACTCCCGTTCATGTGGGTCAAAAATTATGCTCTGCTCAGCAGGGCACGCACTTGCTGTCTTTTTCATCCTTACCCCTGGCGCGTTATACTTTTCCTCCCTGTTTTTTCCCGGGTCCCCTTCTTGCGTTACCTGGTTCCGCTCCCACGCGGAGGCAGGTATGGGGTGAGCTCGCTGTAGCCATGGCACACGCGGGCGGGGGCCAGGAGGCGGCGGAGGCCCTCGCGTCGATTGACCAGGCACTGGCGCTGCGGCCCTGGGCTGCCGACACACGCCACTCGCTGGGTGCCGTACACGAAGCGCTAGGGCAGTACGACGAGGCTGCAGCGGCGTACGATGACGCGCTGGCTTTGGATCCGACGCATGCGCCCACGTTGCTGCGAAAAGGTGGGTGGGTCTGTGGCCGTTTAGGTGCCAGGACAGTGCGAGTGGCAGAGGCACTTGAGGCCATGACGGTTGCGTCTCGATGGGGATCCAGATCCGGATCCGGTCTGATTCCGTTCTTCATCCCATTTCCTGCCCGCCAGGAGTGACTTTTCGTAACCCTCGTTCCTGTGATGTCTGTTCCACCACTTCAATTTATGTTCATCTTTGTACAGTCGGCTATGTAAATTGTTTTGTTGCGGATACACCCACACGCGTCACACACGTAATACACTTGTACAGGTGCGCTGCACGTGCGCAACGGCAGCCGTCCCGACCTGGCGGCGGCTCGGGACCTCCTAGCGGAGGCGCTGCGCTACGACCCTCGCAACGCCGCCGGCTGGCACGAGCTTGGCCGCGTGGCCGCGGCGCTGGAGCATAGGGCCCAGGCGGAGGAGCACATGCTGATCGCTGTACGACTGGCGTCAGAGGCCCCCGCAATGCAGTTCAGCGAGCTGCCTATGGGGCCGCCCACGTCATCTGGGTGACGTTGCTGCTGCTGCTGCTCCTGCTGCTGCGGTGGCGGCGGCATTCGAGGTCCGGGGGGACACGACAGAGCTCTCGCGGATGCGAGGTGGTAAGTGTGGGTGGGCGACATGATGATGATGGTGATGATGATGATGATGATGACAACATCCTCATCTGGCAGACCTGTACGCGGAGGGAGAGAGGTGTGGAGTCGGGTGTCGGGTTGCAGGAGGACACGGCGACTCTAAGTGAGCGAAGGCGCCTCGGGGGGGCGGAGGCCGATAGCAATGGCGACGCCTGCTAGGGCTTCTGCCTGGATGCCGGGATGGAGTACCCATCTTGACCTGGCGGGGGGGAAGGGGGGTGGCGGCCGAGCGGGAGGGGGGAAGAAGAGACGGTGCTGGCACGTGGATGGGCGCGTGATGGGCGAGTCGGTGGGTGAGATCTCGATGGGGAGGTGAGGTGCCGCTGTCGCCGTCATCATCGTCGTCGACGTCGCTGCTGGGCCCGAGTGGCCAGGGAGGGGGGGAAGCGCGTCTTGTTTCCACGCGTGTCCACCACGGCGACTGCGGCACCTAGCGGTTGCGGGAGCTTAGAGAGCTGGAAGTGCTACGAAGTAGGCTGCAGGTGGTGGAGGACGAGGGCCGAGCTGAGCCGAACCGTACAAGGTAGAGGTGCGAGATGCGAGGGGGCGCTACTCATGAGTGCGAAAGGCAGCGCAGGTGCAGAGTCGTTGAGCTCTTGCATGATGTGAGGAGTACTTACTCAGGGCTGGTGCGGCTGCCAGCACAGAACACGAGTAGCTGAATGTAATGGCGACTTTGTGAAAAAAGCGGGGCAGGAGGAGGCGGATATGCTGATGTATATGTGCGGGAATGCCGATATGTATGTACGCCTCTAGTAGTCTCTGTGCTTCGTGCGTTTTGTGGACCCGCCAGGGAGTGTGTGTGTAGAGGGGCGGGGAGGGGGGAAAGACGAACCACGAGCGAGTGAAGGCGATGCCAAGGAAGGGGAAGGGGGGGAGGAAAGGCATGGGAAAGGGTGAAGAGGAGCCGGATGAGGGGTTTTTCAACACCAGGACGGAGAACACCAGACGGCAGGTCCGACCCCTCGGATCGCCTAGACCTATCGGACCCTTGACCTCCCGGTTCTTCGGAGGGGTTGGGAGAGGTTAAAAACATTTGGTTTGCATGGATGGTTCCTAAAGCGAGCGCGCCGAAACATGTTACGACGGGGCACCCGGCCAGGTGGGGGGGGAAGGTGAGTGAATGTAAGAGGGGCCCAAAGCACTGCGGACGTGGACAGTGATGAAGTGGTTATCCAGTTCCTGAGGAACCAGAGGGGCTGTGGAGCCCATCTCGGGTATTGCGAGATGAATGCATGGCTTGGTGCGGGAATGCCCGTTCGGATGTATGTGTGCATGTATGTGTGTATATATGTGCGGGCATTTTGCGAAAGATGGAGCATATCAAAGGGGGTGCACGGGGCGGGCAGAAGTTAGAGCATGGATGAGCTTCAAGTGCTCAAGCGCTGTACATAAACGTGTATGCTACATAACAGAGTCAGCTGCAAAGCTTGGACAGCTGCGGCTGTTTGCGTGGTGCTTGGACGCGTTTGATTTGTGTGGGACCTCCTCAAGCTTGATGTGAAGCAAAAATGTTTTTTGGCTGCGCGTGCGTGCGGCCGAAGCGCAAGCGGAAAGCAACGTCCAACCCCGCGAGATGAAAAGCTGTCATCGTGCTGGCAATGTTCATGCCGGTGTGGGCAGGACACAGTGTTTCCGTGTGGTCTGTGTGGGCGTTTGGGTAGGGAAATCAGATGTATGTGCGTCAGGGTCCACACAACGTTGTTTTAGGGAGCTCCGCTCTGCATCATGGGCTGTGCAATGGATGGAAAGGATGGGTGGATGTGCGTCTAAACCTGGAAGCTGCCATCACTCGACGATGCTATGTCCCCCCCAAAGCGGGGCAAGACTGACAGTTGACCTTCATAGGTGTCCCTCCAGCAACTTAGGAGGCGGAAACATTCCTACGCAATCATACTCAGTTAACCTAGGGTTTACCGCCCCTTCCTCCTCACTCGTTCGTGGTTCGTCTTTCCCTCCCTCCTCCGCGCCCTGCAGCGCGTTCAACCAACGGAGTCGTAGAGGCAGACGGAGAGCACATACGGATAGTCCTTGACACCTGCATTGCGAGCTGCGTGACTACCCATACGAACTGCAGTCTCAACCGGCCGCATCCCTCTGTCTCTCTCTCTCTCTCTCTCTCTCTCTCCCCTCTCTCCTCCTGTGCAGTCCTCGATCCAGTCGTACCCCGCATGGTAAAGCCAAAGTCAACATGGATCCACTTTGGGACTCAAGGGGCTCCGAAACACAACCGAGACTGCTGCTATCCATTGCTCGGGAAGTCGTCCAGTAAGAACCGAAGAGCCACTGAGTCGAAAAGTGAACCTCCAGGCCGTTTCGGGTTAGGAGTGTTATTAGTAGGCTTCTCCTCCACATCACTTTGTACGTTGGTTGCCAGGTCCTGGCTCCAAGGTCTCTAACGGCTCCATCCGCACCCCTGCCGATCCATACATACATCTGTCATTGGAAGGCCCCGCTTCCCCTCCCGTCGCCGTCGCCGTCCCTCACGGCGCGAACCCTAATTGTCGGTCTATGGCGCGAACCATGTCCTCCGTGCTGCCCTTGGTGTACGGCACCAGGCGACTGGCGTCAAAGCTCCGTACGGCGGCCAGCAGGTCGCACGGCGCCGCACTCACCTGGCGAGGGGGAAAAGGAAGGGGTGGAGGACTCAGGATTGGAGGTTGGAGATGCGCAGACTGTCGGGGGGAAATTCTCCTCATTGCAAATCCTTGTCCCACTCGCTGAAGACGCGGTTTTCCTCCCCCCTTCCTCTCTCTCATGACATACATGGGTCCTCGTCGTAAGTCTGATACGATGGGGGCTGGATGTCCGCCGGGTTACTGGGAGGGGAGACACTCGCATGTGCCTCCCAACACGTCCCAAACTCTCCCTCGGGGCCCTCCTCGACCCCCCCACAATCAGATCAGGACCAGGTTACCCCCCCCCTTGGCTGTCCTTCCTTAGCCGCCCTCCTTGGGGCCCTCTGCATTGGCATTAGCTTTAGCTCCGACCTTCCAAACCCCTTTCAATCCCCCCCTCTCCCCCCTCCCTTCTTCCCACCCTCCTGCCACCCCTGTAGCTCTCTCCCTGGCCGCCATGCCCGTATGTATGTATGTATGTATGTATGTATGTATGTATGTATGTATGTATGTATGTATGTATGTATGTATGTATGTATGTATGTATGTATGTATGTATGCATGTATCTCACTAGATGCCCCATATCTGCCAGCTGCTCCCCGAGCTCCACTTGGTGGTTGTCCATCAGCAGCGGGTTGGGAACCACAATGAGGGGCACCCTCGCTGTCAGGGTCTCGAAGATGGAGCCGGAGCCTGAAGGACCGCGGAGGGCGGGAGGGGGGGAGGGCGGGAGGGCGGGAGGGAGGGAGGGAGAGAAGCAGACCGGTAAATGGGCGAGGAAGGGAGCGGAGGAGGGTGGAGGTGCAAAAGGGTTGTGTGACAGTTATTGTACAGATAGGGGGCGGACGTTGGTTGGAGTTGGTTGGAGTTGGGAAGGAACACACGATGTTGTGGTGAGATATGGTGGCTAGGGGTTACTGTGTGGTAAGCAAAAGAAGGATCCGTGGGGAGAAATATGGGCGTGCAAAAGGTGGGGAAAATTTGGTGGGGAGCAGGTAAGGTTTTTTGAGATACGGCGCAACGACCTGGCCCATACCTGCATGGCTAATTACCAGCGCTGCTGACGCGATGTAGCTGGCGAGGGAGGGAGAGTAGTCGAAGTACCTGTCAGCGGCCGAGAGGAAAGCGTTGGAGGAAAGGGACTTGGGTCGGTCGAAAGGGACTTGGGTCGGTCATGTTTGGCTGAGGCGGGGGGAGGAGGTGCGGATAGGGGTGAAGGCTAAGAGCCTTCATCTGGGCCAGGCAGCAAACTCGCCTTTACGGCAATAGTGGGCCGGTTGGACCACAGGCATAACTATAAAGGAAGAGCACGCACTTCTTTTGCCAAGAGACTTACTCGACTTCCACGCCTTCCGTAGTAGCCTTGGTTTGGCCCTTCGGGACGATGACGTTCGGACAATAAATTCCGTTACCCTTCTGGATAATTATTTTTGTGTAACCTTTGTCGCGAAGAGCTCGCAACAATTCGAGTGAGTCTACACGCCTGCGCGGAAGAGATGTGCTCGATAGAGTCAGGCTGATTCCTCAAGTAATTTTCAGAGCTTTGATCTGAAACTACTTACTCTACAAGAGCTTCAAACTTTGTCGTGCCTACGGTGACAAACACCGACCTATTTGCCGGGGGCATGCTCAAGAACTCAGTTACCGGAGACCCGTCTTTAAAACTAGTTCCTGAAGCCCGCACCCCTCACAAACGTCTACCGGATTAACTTTGGATGCGCCTATCTCGCGAGTCGCGACGTGAAATGGCCGTTGCGGAATCCAGCTGCGAAGTCTAAACTCTTAGTATCCTAACCGACCGCCAGTTGCAACCCGAGTGTTAGCCTTCTGCTTCAGTGCTTTATTTGTAGTCATTGGTAGTAGGTCATGGCATCGAACGCCCTTCTGCACCAGATTCACATACGTAAAGGGGTGAAGACCCTTGGACCCTGATGTACGGCGCCCTGAGACCCCGATAGGAACGAGCATCGGGGTCTGGGACGGTCTCAGGCCTGATACTCAAATCACTGTGATCTTTGCCGTTTTCTTTCCATTTAGTTCATTGTGCTTAGGTTTATTCACGTTTATGCTTGAACATGTATTGCAGTCAACATGGAGTGGAAAAACGACCCTCGGTATCTCGGTGGGCTTGACCAGAGTGATCTCTGTCATTTAGGCTGTCCGTCATATATCCTTACACCTAGAGAACAAGACCTGAGAGATTACTTAGCACTAGAGGGTCTAGACAAAGTCACTGCTTACTTTCGGAGAACAGTCCTCAGAACCAGAAAGGGCAGTAACATACGTAAAGGGGATTACATATTTCGACATCCGGGCCTGGTGGGCTTGGATGTGCACAACGATGGGGGCGGCGTGGGAGGGTAGCCAGGCGCGGGCAGCGCGCACGCCGCCCACTCCATCACCCCCCGGACCATCAACACGGCTTGAACTAGCTGCTGGAGTCGCTGGGCCTGGTGGGCTTCCGCGTTGATGGGGCCGGTGCGGGCGGTGCTGCTGGGCGTGAGCAGCACGCACGCCGCCAGCCCCGTTCCCCTCTTGGCTGGTCAGTTCTGCTTCCTGTACATCTGCCGCAGCATTCTTTCCTTCTGGCAGCAGCTTCACTCGCTCATGTTTCGTCTTATCCCCCCCATGGCCATCAATGTCGGCTTGCTGCAGCCGCCGGGCATCTGGTGGCATCTTCCATGCTCCCGCAGCATCAGACCCTGTGCCGTCGCCATAATGACTCCAAACCCCGGGCGCATGAAACAATCTTTAATGTCTGGGGCTTTCCATCCAGGTTGGAAATAGGTGTGTTTTCAACGGGGGTGACATGCTGCGTGAATCTACTTTGTCACGTGGGTCAAAAGTGTTATTTTGACTTTTCGGACGGTCATACCAACGCTCCCCGCTGCATAGAGGCAATTCGTGTGTCAGGTGCCATGCGGGCGACATCGTTTACGACACGGGTCCGTCCCGCGGGTCGACTCAGGCTTCCGTCTCGTATTCACTTTCTTCTTGCCTTACGTTATGTTATTAGGATAGTATAAGAGCTCGTTTTTTGGTTCTTTGCATCACGGTCATGGTATTTCCCTTGTTTAACAGATGCCTTGTGACATGACTTGCAACAGAACTTGTCCAATTGTTTTGCATGACAAATATATAACATAATGTCATGCCGCTTCCATTCCATCGCGTTGTCGACGCCTGAAACTTGACACCTGGCAAACTTGTTATGTTACAGCATGTTACGCTGCATTTAATTAAAGGCATGATTCGGAGATATCTTGGCCAACAGCAACGCAACACCTACACAGGCCGACGTGGTTGGCAACAGTTTTTTCAAAAAACATCCATACATGTATTTTATTTAAAGAGCACTTGACTGGCACTTCGCGTCAGGACTCCTCCCAGTCCGATCATTTCCCGCTACCCTGCCCTGCCTTTGCCGTGCACCTCTGCTGCTCCTCTGCGATGTCCCGTCCTGCCTCACCACCAGCCTAAAAAACGGGACAGCAAAACATCTAAAACAAGGCAAAGCACATTAAACCTTCACTGTTACGATCCGGGCGGCCGCTTACTTCCCTTCACTGCAAAACACCACTGCTGTCCTGCTCCCTGTCCACGGAATGAATGTCATCAGCCGCCTCAGAGCTCCCCGCTATACGTGTGGTGACTCTGGTTGGTTGGTTAGCTGGTCAGGTAGTTGGTTGCTTTATCGTTGTGTTACTGTGGATTGTTCGGTATTCTGTTTAATCAGGAGCCGGGGAGCATTTAAAATAAATACAACGGGCTCACTCACACAATAGTTTACAATAGTTTACGCCTACCACACCACCCTGGCAACATCACAGCTAAGCCCCTCGCACTGGCTTTGCCAGCGATCCAGAATCTGTAGAACAGCTGGCATCAGCCCACAAAGCCCTTCTAAGCGGGTTCTGAGGTCCGGCAAGGAGTACCCTACGCCTTCGGCCGTTGCCCTTGAGGAGGCGGCAGCAGGCGACTCCATGACGCGATCTTCCTAGAAAGAACCTTCTTTAGATGAGATATACAAGCTGCTCCAGACCCACTCTACGCAGACCAAGGCGTCCTTCGATCCCTTGCATGGCAAGACAGATGCGCTGGCTGCTCGTGTTCACTCGCTGGAAAAGAATATCCCTGAAATGATTACCAAAAAGGTGGAGACCGAAATCAAGCAGTTCGAAGTTCGGGCCGCGCAGTTCATCATCGAAACTGTGCAGTCTCAGCTCGGGGGGCCCCCTACGTGTGCGACCGACCGCACCGGGTCTAAACAGCGCAGGAACTTGACCGGCAAAACTGCCTACTACGATTCCGGCTCCCTGATCGCGTTTGGCGTCCCGGCTCTCGCGACCGCCAAGCAAGCAGCGGAAGCCATCGCCCAAGCCGTCTCCGATGCCAGTGGAGGAAGCCTCCAGGCATCCTTCCTCAGCGTCGAAGTACGCACTGAGAAGCCACGACCCAACCAGGCGGCCCCAACGTACAACATCACCATCGGCGTCACCCCCCTGTCCGCGGCATGCTTTTCCGACACAGTCAGGCCCTTAAGGCCATCGGCATCGTCTTCCGGGATGACCTCACCCCGGCAGGTCGTCAGCTCAAGCAGGCTCGGAACGTGCAGTTCCTGCGGCTGCACGACGAGGGCCACAAACCCAAGTGGCTGGGCCCGTACATTGAGTACCAGTGCACTGACAGCATGTACTACATGGTCTCCAAATACGATGTGTCCGATGTCCCGCCCCCCCCGCCCCAGCCCCCGGCCGGGAACGGGGCCGTGGCGGGCACAAGCGATGGCGCGTGACCACAGAGGGTGCTGGCGAAGGGAGTGCCACCTAGAGTGCTACAAGTCGTGAGGCTTAAGACATCAGGGTCTTGCTTTGGAACGTGTGGGGTTTGTCGGTAGCTAAGCTTACCGACCCATCTTTCCTCCGCATTGCCCAGGACCACGATGTGCTAGTATTTACAGAAACGCACTGTTCTGTGCAGGCCGGGAAGCCGGCCAAGGCCATGGCCCTGCCAGGGTTTCAACTGCATGTAGCTGAGCAAGCCTGTAGAGGCGGAGCCGGGCCCCAGACGGGCCGGCTGCATGGGGGCGTGTCTGTTTATATCCGGGACGCGATTGCTCGGGATGTCACTTTGTTGAGGGTTGACACGGATGTTTAGACCCGGTGCGGTCGGTCACACACGTAGGGGCCCCAGTGAGCTGAGACTGCACAGTTTCGATGATGAACTGCGCGGCCCGAACTTCGAACTGCTTGATTTCGGTCTCCACCTTTTTGGTAATCATTTCAGGGATATTCTTTTCCAGCGAGTTAACATGAGCAGCCAGCGCATCTGTCTTGCCATGCAAGGGATCGAAGGACGCCTTGGTCTGCGTAGAGTGGGTCTGGAGCAGCTTGTATATCTCATCTAAAGAAGGTTCTTTCTGGGAAGATCGCGTCATGGAGTCGCCTGCTGCCGCCTCCTCAAGGGCAGCGGCCGAAGGCGTAGGGTACTCCTTGCCGGACCTCAGAACCCGCTTAGAAGGGCTTTGTGGGCTGATGCCAGCTGTTCTACAGATTCTGGATCGCTGGCAAAGCCAGTGCGAGGGGCTTAGCTGTGATGTTGCCAGGGTGGTGTGGTAGGCGTAAACTATTGTAAACTATTGTAAAATATGTGCTCCTGTGATGAAGTGGGGGCGTGCCGCCCTGAGTGGGGCATACGAGTTTTCAAGAGTTACATCGTCAGTTTAATCGTGCTAAGCGTAATGCGTGATGGGATCACCGGCTGCGAGCCTTGGAGTCCTTCATAGCTACATGCAAACGGGATGCGAAGACCCTATGGCAACGTCTGAATGGTAAGCCAGCATCCAGATGCAATGTGGAAGACGTGTCGGAGTGGACGGACTACTTCGATCGCCTTTATAATGCCTCAGCCTCCTTCGACGAGGTGCAGGAGGCCCGTGTCTGTGCCATTCTCAACTGTATCAATTTCGGTGCGGGCTCCCAAGTCGGGGCGGCGTGGCGTGATTCCGAACCGGTGCACGCTAGGCGGTCTATGGCCGACACTATGAATGGTCCGCTCACACTTGAAGAGGTCGAGGCGGCTTTGTCGTCCCTGTCTAATGGGCGTTCCCCGGGTCTGGGTATGGTTCCGGCCGAGTGCTACAAGTATGCCAAGCGAATCCCTCGTGAAGGTGATGAGGACAGGGTGTCTGCCAACGTTATTGCCCCTGCGATTCGAGACCTTTTCCAGCACATTTGGGATACAGGGGATGTGCCTGACCAGTTTTGCGTGGCGTCCCTCAGTCCGTTACTTAAGAAAGGCGACCCCAGGGTCAAGGACAATTACAGGGGTCTAGCTGTGGGATGCGCCATTGCCAAATGCTATGCCACGGTTCTCGACAGGCGGCTGGCGGCTTTCGGGGATAAAGATGGTGTCCGGTGCCGTTTTCAGGCTGGGTCCCGTCAAAAGCGCAGTACAGCTCATCAGTTGTTCGTTGTCCGTCATCTTAAAAGTCGTTATGAGCGGCCCGGCAGCAATCAGGCCCTGTATGCGTGTCAGGTGGATTTTGAGAAAGCCTTTGATAGAGTGCCCCGGGCGAGCCTGTGGCAGCGTCTTGAGGAGAGGGGTGTTCATGGACCCATGTTGGCGGCCCTTAAAGCCAGCTACGAACGTGTTCTCCAACGGGTCAAGGTTAACGGTCGCCTGGGGTCCGTCTTTGCCTCTCTGCAGGGCGTGAAGCAGGGGTGTCCCATGAGTCCCAATTTGTTCGGGTTCTTCATTGAGGTTATTGCCGACTACCTTGAGGCGAGGGATGGTATGGACGAATGGTTTAACACACGTGCACACGAATGTCCTGTCATTAATGATCGTCGGTTGCCTCTGTTGTTCTACGCAGACGACCTTACTTTGTTCGCGACCTCGTTGGCACGCCTCCAGTTCTCGCTTAAGCTGCTTATTGAGTTCGGTGCTGCTTTTGGTATGCGCTGCAACGTTCGGAAGTGCGAGGCCCTTGTTGTGGCTGCTTCGGATGATGTCGTTAAGAGGGCGTTTGAGGGGGTGAGGCTCATACTTCCTCTTCGTACTGATGGGTCGCTTTGGCACCCACCCATGGCTGGTAGTTTACTTGTCCCTAGTCCTATTAACTGGTGTGGTCGCGTTAGGTACTTGGGTCTCTATTGGGGCCCTGCGTTCCCGTTTGCGAGTTGTGTTAACGAACTTTTGGAGGCAGGGCGACGGGCTATGTTCGGTCTTAGTAATCGGTTGGATGAGAACAGGGTGTGGGCTCCTGCCGTTCGGCTTCAAGCGTTCGACACCCAGGTTCGTTCAGTTCTCTGTTATGGTGCTGAGGTTTGGGGTCCTGATAGGATTGTCTCCGTTCTGCGGTTAGATAGAGGTGCTTTACCCGCTGGTAAGTCATATTTTGATTTGGCTTTGGAAGATGGTATGGTTCAGGTCCAGCGTGACTTCTGTTTACGTTGCGCTGGGCTCAAGCAGGTACCTTACAAGCTGTTGTACAGGGAGTTGTCTCAGTTGCCTTTGCAGTACTTTTGGTTACGTCTTGCGTTGTGTTTCTGGAATAGGATAGTCAAGTCCCGTGGGTCGGTCTATCATGATGTGTTAGTAGATGATCTCCGTCTAGCTCTTCTGTCTGATCTCAAAGTGGATTGCTGGTCGTCTAAAGTGCTCATCATTTTGCGTTGGTTGGGTCATGAGTGGCCGGCGTGTGACTCCGTCTCTCAGAAAGTAGATGTGTACTCGTCTCAGTTGATTCGAGTGGGTGAGGTTCTGGAGAGGTTATCTGCGTTCCTTTTAAGTGACTGGGATCAGTTCAGCCAAGGGGGTGATCCGCGTGTGTTCCAAGGTAAAGGGGTTTCGCTCTGCAGGTATCATAACTGGATGGGCTCCCCTTCACCTGCAAAAGAGGGCTCCGATCCCACAGGCTATTTGCGTGTTTATTTGCCGGTCAACCAGTTGCGTACGGTTGCCAAATTCCGTCTTTGTTGTTGGCCTTTGGAGGTCAACAAAGGGCACCATAGGCCGAGAGAGTGCCGTACGTGTCAGGTCTGTACGTCGGGTAAGGTTGAGGATGAATATCATGTGCTTATGGAGTGTGAGGCGTATACTGAGTTGCGTAATAGGTTTCTGATTAACGTTGAAGATACTGATATGCGCAAGGTATTTCTTAATACCAATCCGAGGAAAATCGCTACTTTCCTTACTGAGGTTTTTGAAGAGCGTCAACAGCGTGCTCTGGAGCCTCACGGCTCGTGAGGGCACCCGCCGCGTCGGCGGCGGAAATACTGTAACCACAATACAATAGAACATGTTCTGTATATACAGGGGGAGAAACCTCTGTTCTCAGAGTGCAGCTATCCGCTGTAAAGTGTTGAAAAGCACAGTTGAAAAGCCCTGACTGCCACCACCGTAAGTGAGCACAGTACACCGAGGGGCACACATCGGGGGGAAGGTCTAGTCCCCTCAGTCCCCAGTCGGCCAGTCGGCCTTCCTTCTCCCCGTCATCCACGTCTGCACAGCTCGTATGCCGGCGGACTGATATAAAATCAACAAAAACATCAAAAAAGGGCCATCTAAAGGGGGTGATTTGATATTGTACAAAAGGAAGTAGCTGGGACACACCCGGCGCTGGCAATATAACCAAAAATATGCTTTTCAAAAAATTGTACTACGGCAAGTACGGCAGAAACTGCAGTCGTACTTGTACCTCGCCACCCCTGGCGCCCTTGCCCTGCAGCCGCATCCAGCCTTCAAGACGCCCAGCGGAAGGCGACACGCAACCGTTGTCGACGGCGCCGCCGCCGCCGCCACCGCCGCCGCCGCCGCCACCGCCGCCGCCGCCACCGCCGCCGCCGCCGCCGGCGAGGCCACCTGTAGCGGTGTTAGATGCCGTGGACCCCGCCACCGTGACCGCGCCGTCGGGGTGTAGCAGGCGACGTAGCGGTACGACAGCCTGGCCCAGCGGTGTAGGGCTCCGAAACCATCGTCTGTGCCATACCTGTACATGTAAAACGAGAGTATAGCCCTTGAGCCCTCGGCTCGCGTTGGGCGGTTTACAGGTACGGGAACGCACCCCACGATCATGTAACACACACAACTTTGTTGTGTGTGTGTATGTGTGCGCGTGGTTGGGGGCGTTTCAGGGCGACGAACTAATGGCCGAAAAATGGCAAAGCGCCCTGAAGTGCGTTCCTCCAACGACCGCGCCGCCGTTCACAGACATACTGACAGACAGACAGACAGACACGAGAAATCAAATCAAACGAGCATTCATTCGGCCATTCGTTTGTCAAGTCCCAGGGAAACCTTACCCCCTGGGCAGCCCACCCGTCAAGAAGGAGCTTTCTATGACCCCTAGGGGCCGTTTAACGCCACCTTGGTGGCTCGTCCACACCTCCCCCAACTCTCTTACCATCGATCCCCCACCCGGACTCACTTGAACCCGGAGCTCAGCGCCCTCCGCCGCCGGCACCACCCCGTCAACCTCCCCATGGAGCCCGAATGATGGATCCACGCTGGCGGGAACCGGAGGACCCCGCAGGATGTACGGCGCGACGCCGCCGCCGCCGCCAGTGGCATCGCCCTCCGCTGTAATGGGCTCCGCTGCCGTTGCCGCCGCCGGCTCCGCGCCGGCCAGCGGCGCCACCACCGGCCGTGTCACTTCGATTTGCACGTACGGATCGCAGCGGATGCGGCCATGGCGGTTTCGGAGCGCCAGGCCGCCGGCAGCGCCGGCAGGGCCCAAGTGGGCTGCGGCTCCGACGACGCGCGCGGCGGCAGGGTTGGCGTGGAGAGAGCCAGCGCCGCCGGGCTCCTGTGAGCCGAAGGTGAGCGGCGCATCGGACTCTATAATCCTGGCAGCGGCGTCGACGGCGGCGGCTACCTCCGCCTGCTTTTGCTTCTGATGTCGTACACTGGCGCCAGCCTCCGTTTCGCCCTCCTCGTCCTCGTCCGAATCCTCATCACTGAAGTCCGAAAGGGACTCATCGTCGTCGCCGCCGCCGCCGCCGTACATCGCCGTCGCCATACGCCTGGCGGCGGCGTCGGCGGCCGCTGGCTTCTCCTCCGGCGGGTATGCATCCGGTCCCAGCAGCCACCGCGCCGAAACCACGTCCACAACTAGCAGGCCTCGTACGAACGGCAGCATGCCTGTCGTACGGAGCGACTCCGCCACCGCTGCTGCCAGCCGCTCCGACAGCACTTCGACGGAGAGGTAGCTAAGGACAGCAAGTACGGCACCTCCGCGGGCGCGGTGCGGCGGAGGCGGCTGCGGCGGCAGCGCCGCGCTCAGCGACTGGGGTGTCGCCGCCAGGGACGTGCCGTCGAAGGCGGCGGCGGCGGCGGAAGTGGGCACCTGGCCAACATCGGCCGGCACTGCACAAAAGAGGTATGTATGTACGTATGCGTATGTACGTTAGTAAGTAAATCTGGCGATGGGTGAGTGAATGAGGAGCAACGAACAGCGAGCAGTCGAGACTTCCCAGCGTGCAGTCGTGGTTTGTCGCTCCCTAGGGGTCGTCACCCCTGCTGTACACATCTCCCTGCAGCTCGCCGTACACAACCGCGAGGTACGACACGCATTCCGGGAGCTTTTCCTCCTCAAGAAGAGACGCGAAGACTGACGTGCTGAAGAGGGCCAATGGACGACTGTCCGCTTTCCAATCGTCGTACATCGTACGTACGATTAAACACAACACACAACACACACCACTACTTCCCTAGAATCCTCTTCAGATCTTTCCAGCCTAGCCAAGCAATCCACATTTTTAGAGCATGTTGGGAGGCCATGAAATGGGAACCCGCACGTCTGGCGAGGATGTTGGAACGTATGTGGGCTCACCGAAACTCAATTACCCCCTTTGGACGCTAGTCTGGGCTGATGTGCGGTGTTTTCCTTTCCTCCGTGGCTTTTAGGCGTTGTAGTATTGCCTTTGGGCCTTCGGCTCGTATGGGTAGTCTTACAGGTATGGGGTCACGCACACACACACATTTTTATTAAAACGCAAATCCACGAAGGTTCCTTTTTTTGGTCCCCTTTCCCCCCTCCTGGCAATTGGGAAACGGGCCCGACAAGGCACCTACCTGCCCACACCGTCGCCCGCTGCCCGCCAGCTCCGAAACCGCCCCAGGCCTCGTCTCCTCCATCGCCACTGCCGCCACCACCTCCCCCAGCGGCTCCCTCCTCCCCCACCGTCATCAGCTGCGGCCTGCCCGCTACCCTACCACGGTGCATCTCCCGATCTGCAGGACCGCCTCCCCCTCCTTGCCCTCCTTCTCCAGCTGCCGTACGCGCCGTACTCTTCACGACGGGCCCCTCCTCCCCCCCTCCTTCCCCGGGCGGGTGGAGGGGCAGCCAGGCTGTCACTGAGGACCCGGGCTGGGCGCACAAGGGCGCCAGGGGAACTGCGGTGCGACCCACGGGTCGTTTGGAGGACCACACGTGACGGAGCCCGCTGAGCAGGTTGCCGGATTGGAGGAGCTCCTGACACGGAGTGGCAGTAGCAGTGGCAGTGGCAGTGGCAGTGGCAGTGGCAGTGGCAGTGGCAGTGGCAGTGGCAGTGGCAGTGGCAGTGGCAGTGGCAGTGGCAGTGGCAGTGGCAGTGGCAGTGGCAGTGGCAGTGGCAGTGGCAGTGGCAGTGGCAGTGGCAGTGGCAGTGGCAGTGGCAGTGGCAGTGGCAGTGGCAGTGGCAGTGGCAGTGGCAGTGGCAGTGGCAGTGGCAGTGGCAGTGGCAGTGGCAGTGGCAGTGGCAGTGGCAGTGGCAGTGGCAGTGGCAGTGGCATTCGTGTCTGGCCATTCCTTCAAAACGTTCTCTCTCTCCCCATCTCCCCTCCTCCCTCTTTTCCTCCCCTCCCCTCCCCCCCCTCCCCTCCCCCCCCTCCCCTCCCCCCCCTCCTCTCCCTCCCCTCTCTGGTACCCTCACCCCCAAATTGAGCCCCACTCGTTCGGTCAGTTGCAAACGCAGTAAGTCGCTGCGGGGCTCCTGTACAGGCAGGTACAGCAGCGGCGGCGATGCCGCTGCAGCCTTTGCCGTACGGGCGCCGCCGCTACCATCGCCGTCACCCCAAGTACACACTGGCATGGCGGCGGCGGCGCCGTCAGCGGCGGCGGCGGCGTAGTGGCAGGTTGCGAGCGGCGTCGTAACCCTCCGGTCGGGTCGAGTGAAGGCGGTTATCTGTTATGTGTACGGGTGTACGGGTGTACGGGTGTACGGGAGGTTTTAAGGTGGTGGGGGTGTAGGAAGTGGTAGGGGTGGCGAAGATTGTTCAGGACTATGGTGCGGGTGCCAAGGCTGATAGCTGTGCGAGTACGGCTATCAGCGGAGCTGGCTTAGGAAGAGGCAGGGGAGGGAGGGGTACGGCAAAGCACAGCCTGACGAAGAAAAACTCATAGAAGGAAAAACCATGTAGACCGAGTCATAGATCGAAGGGAGGGGAGGGGAAGGGAGGGGAGGGGAGGCAGAGAAAGAAACACGCCGTACATCTTTCACACGGTTTTCGTGGCGTTGGTGATATACGGTGTTGTGTGAGTCGCGGGTCATGGTGTACTGGACAGATGCACCACATCGACATGCCGTACATTGCCGTACAAGCCCCTGTTCCCTGTCCTACACTTCACACCAGGCATTGGTTATTGCACGAGAGGGCCGTGTGAAGTCCCAAACAAAACTCGCCCTTCCCGGCCGCCGTGTGGCAGCAATCGATGTGACCCACCGCTAGTCAGACCGCACATCCAAAACACACACACACACATACACACACGCACACACACACGCACACACACACACACGCACGCATGCAACTCACCTCCACCTCAGCCCCATCTCGAAGCATGTTGCCGCCGCCCTCCTCCTCTGCCGCCGCAGCCTCCCCCTCCCCCGCCCCCGCCCCCTCCCCCTTCTTCGCAGGCGGTGCCACTGGTGTTAGTGGTGGTGGCGGTCCCCTGACCTCCAGCAGCCGCACCGCCAGCAGCCCCCGGGTCCTTAGCTGCAAGTCAGTGAGGGGCCCCGTGAGGCGCTCAGGAAGTACGGCAACCACCACCCGCTCCGGCCATACCTGCGGGGTTGGGGGAAGGGGGAAGGGTTTAGGAAGGACGGCGGAAAGTGGGTACGCGTGTGTGCGCGTGTGCGCGCCTATGTGCGTAGATGTGTAGATGCGTAGATGCGTATGTGTATGTGTAGGAGTAAAGCCACTGCTCATTACCTCAAAACCCACTCACGTGCCCCGCATGCGGAATTCGAAGCTTCAACTGCCCATCTAATCCCATCTACCGTGCCGTACATCGACAATCTATTTTAACAACCCAACCGCCCCAAAACCTCCCCCTCCACAACTCCCCTCATTTTCCCCCCCCCCTCCGCACAGCAGGAAAACCCACCAGCGCTTCCCCCACGATATCTTGCAACAGCGGCTGCAGGAAGGCCGCCACGGGGCCGGTCACCACGCCGCCCCCAGCCCCCAGAGCCCCGGGCCCCAGGTCGAAGGAGAACGACAACTGGAAAGGGGAAAGGGAGGGGAAAGGGAGGGGGGGAGCGCGGGGGGGAGCGGTCCAGGTCCATAGGGGGTAAGAAGTAACGGGTCGGGGAAAGGGGTTGGGGGAAAGAAGGGGGGGACATGGAGCACTATAGAACCCGCTATAGCCCACACCACTTAAGGTTAATACCCGTACATGACGGTACGAACCCAGGGAAGATGTACGACATTACGTGTGTCTGTATGTAATTGTGTGGAGAGACCGTGCGTGCGTGCATGTGTACGACGCATTGCACACGCATTGCCATGCACACGCGAAAACGTAAATCAGGTTTTTACCTGAGGCGCCCGTGGCATGGAAACCTGGATGGCGCCGAAACCAGGCGGGTACGGCACTAGCGGTGTCAAGACCAGCCGTACCGTGCCCGCCACCGCCAACTCCTTCAGACGTGGTGTCAGACGCACCGTGCCGCCCCTGCCGTGGAGGCGTACATACACACATACACACATACACACGCCGTGCGGTTTTGTTTGTGCGCTTCATATTTTATGTTGGCGGTGGAGGGGGAGGGAAGGGGAGGGAAGGGAAGGGGAAGAGGAGGGGAACGAAAACACACAAAAGGTGCGGAAATGGATTCATTCTTTAGCATGTACTCCTGCGACGGCGAGCAGGGAAAGTAATGGAAGTGATTATGACCCTTGGGCCACGAGCTGCTACTGCTACTACTGCTTACTAATCCCCCCTAAATCCCCCCCAACCCCCCTTGACACGTACCCGGGCGTCAAGTACGCCTCCACAAACAGCCCGATGGTGGGGTCCCCCTGCCACTGGAAGTCCACCTCCACCTCAATTGCCTCCACGCCGCCGCCGCCGCCGCCATCGGTACCCGGTGCTTCAGCGGCCGGCGCCGAGGCGGCCGCGGCGGTGCCGCTGCCAGTGACGTGCTCCTGTACGGCAACCACAGCCGCCATTGCTGACATGGTTGCGTCAGACACTCCCGATAGCACCACGCCAGCAGTAGGGGCGGCGGCGGTGCTGCCGCCGCCCCCGCCGCTGCCACCGCCAGGTGCTACAGTCGCCGCCGCCGGCGATACGCTGGCTGCAGCGATACTCGGGGCAGTGGTACTGTCCAATGGCCGAGTGTCGAAAGTGAATTCGCCGGCGGCAGCGCTGGCGTCGTCGGGGGGTTCGGCGGCGGCTGCGGCGGCGTCAGCCGCCGCCACTGCTGCTGCAACCGCCGCCACGGCCTCCGCTTGCGCTGCCGCCGACGCCAGCGGCCTTACCCGTACAGCCTCCACCCGCGGCGGCGTCTCTCCTAGCGACAGGTCCGCCAGGCCCACTGAGCGAATGAACGGCGGCTTAGCTAGATCTGCCTGCGCATGGATGGCTGGCCTGCACACGATGCCGCCGCCAACCACCAACCACCAACGGCATACACACCATGCGGAATGGTGGGATAGGGTATCGGTAGGGGTAGGCAGGGAGGGAGGGAGGGGTTGTTTAGGGACGCTCCCCCCCTCCCCCCCCTCCCCCCCTCCCCCCGCTCCCCCCCCCATCCTCCCTACCTACTAAAGTACCATATCGTCCTAAGTAACCCCATCATCGACCCCAACACCCGGTCAGCAGAAAACCCCCCTACAACCCTCCCTCCTACACAGACACACCGACAGACAGACATACCCGATCAGGCCGCGCAGAGGACCCTCCACAGCCGGCCACACCCTCGCCAACAGCGCATTCACCCACTCCGCTCTCTCGCCGTGTCGGGCATCCGCCAACCGCGCAGGGAGGGCGCCGCCGCCGTACAGAAAACGAAGCGCCGCCAGACCGGCGTCGTCAACCAGGGTCAGAGTGGAGCTGGCGTCGGCGGCGCCCGCCGCGGCGGCGGCGGCTGGCACGGGTGCAGGACCGGATGGTTTTGAGGATTGCGACGGCCGCGACCGTTGTGGTGGTTGTGCTTGTGGTTGTGACAGTTGTGAGGTAGCGGGCAGCTGTGTGCCAGCGGTGTAGAGGAGGCCTGATCGGAGGGTTTCGGGGGGGAAGAGCAGAACAGTGGAAAACCTTGGCAGTGAATCAGTGAACTCTGGTCTGCATCGTACAGATCGTACACGCGTTGTACACATCATACCGCATTGTCAAGGAGGACAGAAAACAGATGAAGGGAAAGCGGTGTAGCGGCCGAAATGCAAAGATGCCGTACACAATCACGGGTACTCACCCAGTGCCGCATGGCGGCGCGCTGCCGCCACGCGGTTGCGACGGTACGACAGCGACGCCGCCATTGCCATCACAAAACTGATCACAAAACTGACTATCAACCCCGGCATCGAAATCAACGGCATCAGCAACAGCTCCACGGCCATCCCAGATGCAAGCAGAACCGCCGCCGGCAGCACCAAAGCTGCCATGGCTGCTGCGGCCAGCGGACGCTCCCGTACGACAGCCATCAACGGGCCGAAAATCCGCCTTCCGAGCACCCACACAGCCTTCAGGAGCTGGTGAAGGCCAGCCGCCGATACACCGTGGCCGTGGCCGGCATCGCCGCTTCCGCCAGCGGCAGCGGAAGCAGTGTAAAGCGGCGACGGCGACCACGACGGCGCAGCGGCGCCGCCGCTGCCGCCGCTGCCAACATCCGAAATCCTAGCGGTAAGGCCGCGGGCCGGCGCCGATGAGGCGATGCCGGCGATCGGTGACCCAGGCCCCGATGACCCATGGGTCACAAACCCATGGGTCACAAGCTGTTCCTCCCTCGGCGACGCCGGCGCCGGCGCCGGAACGAGGGACAGTCGGCTAATTGTCGGAGGCGTCGGCGCCAGCCGCGCCACCGCTGGACGGCTGAGAGCGGCCTCTCCGCCGCTGCTGTCGTCGCCGCTGGCGCCGCCAGCGGCGGCAGTTACGGCAGCGGCAATGGCAGCTGCATCCTCAGCGGCGGCTCTTTCGGGCCTTATCGCGGTCTTGGGTGTTTGCGACGCCAGCTCCAGGGGGTGTACGTCACGCGCGTGTAGCGACATCGGAGTCGACACCAGGAACTGCGACTCCAGCCGTCGCCCACCGCCGCCGCCACCGCCGCCGCCGTCGTACTGATGCTCCTGAAGCGACGATACGGCCGGCGGCGGCGCCAAATACGGCGACACATCACTTGTCGCGGGGCTACTTGGGGCCACCCCCGGCGGCGGTGGCGGCGACGGTGATGGCGATGGAGATGATGACGATGGTGATGGCGGTCCGGCGGCGGCGGACCGGTCCAAGGGGGACGGCGCCGGCGCCCGTGGTACGGCATGGTGGCTGGGGTCATAGCTGAAACCGTGTCGGTGATGATGCTGATTCTGGTGCTGCCGTTGCTCATTGAGGATGCGGGCGGCGATGGGGCTGATGTTGCCGCCGCCGCCGGCGGTGGCGGCGGCCGGCGGGCGATTCGGCTTGGCGCCGGGCAGGGGATCTGCGGCCGGGCCCGTGTGGGACTGCGGTGGAGGGTGCGGCTGGTGCTGGTTGTGTTGGGGCCGGCGCTGGGCCGATTTCTTCATGTTGCGCGATGCGGTCTCTGTCTTTCGATCAGCTCGGTGTTTGTGCTTGAAAGAGCTTGGAAGCGGTCAAGCTTGACTTTCCAACTTTTTCCTTTCCTACAAATGTTTTAACAAAACGTTTCCTGGGACCCACAGGAAGGTATATTTTTTGGCGATCGCGCGCAGATAGCTCCAGAAACAGTATCAGAAACAAAAGGAGTATTTTCCGCGGCAGCAGGAGTACGGCACCGGTGTCTTTGGGCGGCTTGCGTCAGACAACGATCGGCGTTCTCTCTGGAGTGCGCCCCAACAGCCTGATCTACTTTTGCTTCGCCCGATTAAATTTGTGTGAAAATACAAATTTCTTGCGATGGTTCGGTCGCGTTCTTCATCTGCTCTGCGTATCTCCAAAATTGCGGTATTTCGAAGACCCGGACGGAACGCTGTAGTCGCTCACAATTTTTTTCCAAAGCGCACATGCACTTATAAATGAAACAACAATGAAATGCTTTGCTTGGGGGTACCACTAGTAGTAATGGTAGAAGCAATGTCCTTCCAAGGGTAGCTGACCAAACAATGACGATGTATCTTCCCAAACCGCACAACGCAAAGCCATCGCACACCATTTCCCGACCACATCCAACGCATATGCACGCCGTATACGAAAATACAAGGACGCTACAAGGTTCAGAGCAACGTTCCTAAAAGCTCTCGCACATCGTCGTGCAATTAGGACAAATACAAAAAAGTAGGAAAAGCACTAACAAAATACTAATCCTAACCTTAAGCAACGTCGCCTCCAGCGCCCCAAAGATTCATCGTGACACACACAAGCAGAACCTCCGCGCAGCAGAAGCCCGCTAATACTTACGGGCCGCTGCGGAACACTGCCCCCCATACAGCTCGTCGCCACCCTATTACTATGCTCTCCTCTCTCCTCCTGCCCAATAAACTACCGCGCGCCGTGTCGTCGCTGCTTGCATCCTCCGCCGCCTCAATCGCAACCAAGGCTACGGCCGCGTGCGGCTACGGCCGCCGCCTGCTGCTCCGCCCATCTTCGAACAGCTACAGCTACAGCTACACTTCCAGATACAGCTACAGCTCTCAGCTGGTGGGGGTGCGGTGCGCCTCCTCCGCCTCCTCGTCCTCCGGAAGCGAGTTCACACAGCCACAGCATCCCGGGGGTGGTCGTGTTAACTCAGGTCGGTCTGTGTTTCATTGTGTGTACGAGCGTACGTACGACATCGGCCCAGAGTTTCACCAGTGAATGTTTGTGGGGGGGGCCCGGGGGTTGGGTGTGCGTAGGAAAAGAGGGGAATCATATGTCGTCGGAGGGTAACAGTACTGCAACTCCAGAAGGCGCAAAACACACACGCACGTATATGTAAGAAGCACCACAAGGCGAGGAGGGTGGCTTGGTGTTGGGGGGTCAAGGGTCCCCCAGTGGGCCAGCGGGCTCCTTCAAAACCTCCACGAGTAAACCCCCGGCTGCTGTAGCGTGCCGAGGGGTTTACGGCACCGTCCGCCACATCGCAGTACGGCAGCAGCCACCGCGCCATCGTGACTGTAAAAGGACAGCGGGAGGAAAGTACGGGAGAGGGAGAGGAGGGAGGGAAATTGGGAAAGGAGGGAGAGGACGAAAAGCCTCGGGGGGGGGGAGAGAGAAAGTGGGGAAGATGGAAGCGGTGCTGTCTGCGCTGAAGATGTGCAGCCGTAACCTTGCGGCCCTTCAGAATTCACTAATGTCGTTCCGGCCACACCAATAAAAACATACATACATACATACATACATATGCGCACCCATACACACACAAGCACGCCCCCTGAGACCGCCCCCCAGCTTTCGGAAGCCCCCCAGGCGATTTGCATTCCTGCATTCCTGAATGAATGAATGAATGAATGAATGAATGAATGAATGAATGAATGAATGAATGAATGAATGAATGAATGAATGAATGAATGAATGAATGAATGAATGAATGAATGAATGAATGAATGAATGAATGAATGAATGAATGAATGAATGAATGAATGAATGAATGAATGAATGAATGAATGAATGAATGAATGAATGAATGAATGAATGAATGAATGAACGAACGAACGAACGAATGAACGAATGAACGAATGAACGAATGAACGAATGAACGAATGAACGAACGAACGAACGAACGAACGAACGAACGAACGAACGAACGAACGAACGAACGAACGAACGAACGAACGAACTTTCGAGCGGTTGGTGATGTCCCTCCCTGGCCACCACCTTTCAGCATCGGCACCCGACAGGCGGAGCAATACCGCCGCCGACAGAGAGGAGGTCAGCCAGAACCGCCAGGGCAACATGAAGCTGGGAGTGGAGGTGATGATGAGGGTGGTGGGGAGATGATTATGTTGACGATTAAAATGATGGCGAGGGAACGGTCCGGGAAGGGGAAAGGGGAAATTTGATTTTGTGCGCAGAATCACACTTGCAAACCCATGCTACACACGTATGCTTTTAAATTACATATAGTTTATAATAATTATTTCAGGTAAACAGTTTATATAATATATTGATTTAGGATATATCATGTTTTAATTATAAAAACGATACATAAAAAAATGATGCATGATGTAATGCATCATATTTGTTACATATTCATGTATTGTTATAAAATTTTATAAAAAAGTTTATATGTGCCCGCTTTACATTTTTACGTTGCAATTTTTCAATTTGACCATGATTACACATCGTTACATTCCGTGGCAACCTTCTTTTCAACACGACATGCGACGCGACGCCGCTCGCTCCCACGGCTGTGGGTATCTCCCCCAGGAGACTGCCGGCGTGATGGGCGCGTCGGGCCACCCGCCACCCCACAGTGATTTGCCACACCCCATAAGGCCCGCGGAGGACCGGATGAGGTCGTACGCCAGGTTCCCTGGAGTGGGCACACTACCGCAAGTGAGTTGCTAGTGTGCATCCGGTCGCGTGACTGGCTGTGTGCATGTATGCATACATATGTACGTACGTATGTATGTTTGTTGTTAATAGCCTTCACGCCTCCCGCAGCGGCACACTTTCGGTCCGTTGCCCCTCCTAACCTCCCCGCCCTCGCCGCGGCCTCCATACATACATACAACCGTTTCCAGCACCTACGCACCGAATCGAACACACACACACCCCTTTCGGGACACCACTTTCCAAAAATGAACCCTGCTGCTCCCTCCGGACCCTTTGTTATGGAAACATTACGACTGATAGACAAATATTACTGTTAATCTGAAGTAATTATACATGCACGTATGTATGACTATGTGAACACGTAGATAACTTCACTCCCAACGTTTTACCTTGAGTTGATAAGTCATTTTCTTGTCTTGATAGGTTTCAGGATCGATCCCGTAATGGAGTGGAGTGTAAATATCGCAACTGTCTCAATACGGTCGTGTGCATGCACCCCATGCCGATGGACGGCGATACCGACCTGTTCACGTGACATATGTTGTGGCCCTACAGCGAGTCGACCTGTTCGGGTTGTGGGTTTGTGGGGATGTCGCCGCGGTCGATCTGCGCGGCAGATTCCGCTGGATGCTACTGTTGCTGGTGGTTGCGGTGGTGGTGTTGGGTGCTGAGCCCGAAGAAGTCGCTGACTTCGCAGAAGCCGGCAAGGGAGGGCGCGAAGGATGCGGGTGATGTCCGGGGAAAGATGGGGGAAGGGTGGCACTGACCGGGGGACTGATTGCCAGCCGGCTAGCGGAGACACATACTCACACACACACACACACACACACACACAAGCTGGAAGCTATTCACCCCCGCTTCTTCACACAATCATACATACATACGTACGCGCCGACAGGATCCCGCCTCCAAGCGCGCCCCCGGTCTAGTCCACAACGTGTGGGGTATGGACGAGCAGCGCCCCGCCTTCCCGCCCCTGGCTGCGGACGCCACCTGCGATGTGTTGGTGGTGGGGGCGGGCATGGCGGGGCTGTGCATCGCCTATCAGCTGGCCAAGCAAGGTGGGTGGTACTGGCAGTGGTTGTGGTTGTGGCAGTGGTAGTGGTAGTGGTGATGGGTGGGGGCCCGGACCGTGTGTGTGAGTGGACAGCTGGGTATGTGGATGCTTTTCGTCTTTATCGTAGCTGTAGAATGTACGGCACAAGTATTGTTTTTGAATATGCACGAAGACGGTTCTCTAGCAGCGTCTCCTGAGGCCGTTTCGGCGGCCCCCCTCGACGAGGAGCTCGCAGTACCGCGGGTCCTCTGCTCGCGCGCGATCCCCCGGAACCTCTTTATTGCTTCCACAGCCCATGAATGTATGTATGTATGTACGTATGTACACAGTGCTTAAAACGGGTCAGGTGATGGAGCACTGATAATTCATTATCATTAAATATTACTCTGCTCACGGAGGATATACATATATATGTTTGTATGTGCATGTAGCTTGTTTGCATGTATGTATGTATGTTGTTACAGGGTGGTCAACTTCGCCAGCGGCCCCCTTTCCCGGGGCAGTCCCTGCTCTCCCCTGCTAGAGGGGCACCCTAATCCGTCACCCCATCCGACTTCAGAATGTATTCGTTGGGTTCGGCAACTCACCACCAGCATCCAATCAAATCTAGCGGATCAACGGCGCATCAACTTAGTTCCTGGTCGGCTCGCAAGTTGATATTATCACGTCCTACACCGTCCATAAGATGGGGGGCCACCTCCCATTTCATCACTCCTCAAACACCCGAGGAGCCGGCAGGCGGATTTGAACCCGGGTCGACTGGGTCGACTGGGAGCAGAAGTCAGGCCTTAACCTCTGCCAGCCGCCTGCCATATGTATGTATGTCATTACGGTTGTATATGTGGCTGTGGCAGCAGGCCACGACGTGGTGGTGTTGGAGGCGCGTGTGCGCGGCGCGGGCCAGTCGGGGCGCACCTCCGCGCACATCATGCAGTGGAATGACGACTTCTACAGCGTCATTGAGAGCAAGGTACGGCCTTGGTCGGGGTGGGGGTGCATGTGTGTGCGTGTTCGTGTGTGTGCGTGTTCGTGTGTGTGCGTGTTCGTGTGTGTGCGTGTTCGTGTGTGTGCGTGTTCGTGTGTGTGCGTGTTCGTGTGTGTGCGTGTTCGTGTGTGTGCGTGTTCGTGTGTGTGCGTGTTCGTGTGTGTGCGTGTTCGTGTGTGTGCGTGTTCGTGTGTGTGCGTGTGTGTGTGCATGTGTGTGTGCGTGTGTGTGTGCGTGTGTATTTGTGTACGTGTGTGTGCGTGTGTATTTGTGTACGGGGAGGGGTTGAGGTTGCCAGTGGTCACCTCTTACCCGGGGGTTGTGTGTGTGTGTGCGTGGGGGGTGATGGTGAGGGTGACGATGTCGTACTGTCGGTCGGATTATGGAAGTCCATATAGATATGTGTGAAACCTTTCTCGCGTAGCTCAGCTATATGTTGGCATCGGCGAGGGAGGCGGCACGCCGCGACGGTGTGTGGCATCAATGTACTTGTGTACCGTGCGTATACCTCCTAGTGGGCCTTTGCCACCCACCCAATCACCCACCCAATTATCTACCTAACGGACTGACAGACTGACTGACAGACTGACGTTATCCCGCCTGAACGTACCTGCCTGCCTGCCTGCCTGACTACCTACCGACTTGGCTGCATGCCTTTTTAACGCTTCTGACCTCCTGCAGTACGGCAAGGCGGGCGCCCGCCATGTCGCGGAGTCGCACCTGGCCGCCATTGACTTCCACGAACGGGTCGTACATGTACGAGTTCATTAGCTCTCAAGCGCATTAGGGCTTGTTTAGGAAGGGATCGGTGTGCACTGAGTCGTATGTGTATATATATGTATATATGTATGTATGTCGTTACAGGGTGGTAAAGCTTCACCAGCGGCCCCCTTTCCCGAGGCAGTTCCCTGCTCTCCCCTGCGAGAGGGGCACCCTAATCCGTTCACCCCATCCGACTTCAGAGTGTATTCGTTGAGTTCAGCAACTCACCACCAGCATCCAACCAAATGTATGTACGAGTGTAATAAGGATTCCCAGCCAGCCGCCGCTTCTCCGCTGTTGTTATTCCGTAACGCTTACATACATATATACATACATACATACATACATACATACATACATACATACATGCCTGCGTACATAGACACACATGTATTTATATAATACACTTTTACACACACACGCTCGCACATGTCATCGTGTACCACAACGTACGACAGTCCACATGGGCCCTGTTTGCATCTTTCTTTCGCCCATCTAACGAAAACGTATTTTCCCACCGTACTGACGTTCTTCGTACACTCGTATGATCATGTGTACGACGCCTGTCACCGCCCGCCCGCCAGGAGGAGGATATCCAGTGCGACTTCACCCGCCTGGACGGCTACCTGTTTTCCCACGACGATAAATCGGTGAGGTAGAGAACATGGAGTTATTATGGCCACGAACTGCAAGATTGTATTCATGTGCGTATGTATGTACAAGTCTTAATGCTTGTCTCTGTGCTTGTGAATTGTTTGATTTCCTGTGTGTATTAATGTATGTATGTGTGTATATGTGTGTGTGTGTGTGCGGGGCGGCG